TCAGACACGGGTCACGACGAGGCGTTCCCCATAGCGACCCCTAGAGGACGCAGTTCGAAGTTCCCTTGAAAGGGAAACCTTATTTACAACTATGTTTATATATTTCTAATCTGACTGGAATTTTACATGCAATAATATATTATAAACATGGTTTGACTTATAGGTTTAGAGTGTTTTACATTTATGTTTATTCATTTAGCAACCACTGTCTTGACAACATATCATCCCAAAAATGGGGGAAAAAAAGAGACCACAAATATACATTACCATTCAAACGTTATCTATTTATTTTGATTATTTTATTCACGAAGAATGCATTACTGTCATTTATGATCAATTTAAAGACATTTACGTATATTGTATAACAAGGGTTTGTTACAATTTCATATAAATGCTGTTTTGAACTTTCTATCCATCAAAGATTCCACTTTGCAGATAATCAGAAATGTTTCTTGTGCAGTAAATCATCATATTAGAATGGTTTCTGAAGGATCATGTGACAATGAAGAGTGGAGTAATGATGCTGAAAATTCAGCTTTGATCACAGCAATAAATTACATTTTGCAATATATTACATTGTACAATATATTCTCATAGAATAAAGTTACTATTTTACTAAATTCGTTTTTACTTTATTTTTGATCAAATATATGCAGCCTTGTTGAAAATAAGAATATTATATCAAAAAGGGAAAAAAATAAAAAATAAACAAACAAACAAATAAATAAATAAACAAACAAATACTTTTGAAAGCTTGGAGAGAAATGGAGAACGGTTACTGTAGATTATTTTTTCCCCATTTCTTCGTTTCTTTCTTTCTTTCTTTCTTTCTTTCTTTCTTTCTTTCTTTTGTCCCTACTCTCGATCTCTCACCCCCTCTTGTGTTATTTTTCTCTTTTGTAGTTTCATTGCCTGTTGCTCATTGATGCTCTCTTACAGATTTCAAACAGGTTTCGAGTTTGAAATAAGTTCACAGTCTTGTGAATAATCTTGAGTCATTGAGATGCTGTGAGTGGACCTTTAATGTTGCATGCACATTTCCAGATGGTTATCAAGCAACATCTGTGTGATTTATGCGCTATGCTTTAGTTCCACATCATGCTGCACAGTTGCAAATCATTTTGTGATTTCTCTGTTGACTTGGATGGAAAGAATCAAACGGTGGCCAGTTTCAGTTGAATAAGTGTTTCAGGAATACTAATTGTAGGATTTAAAACTGGCATTAATTACACCTAGTAAAATAAATTATGGATCTTAAGTAGTTCTGTTGCTTGTTTCAGTATAGCTGTAAAATTGTTACCTTGAGCTGTTTCTAATGACTGAATTATTCTGAGCCTACTTTATTTTTAACTTAAAATCCATTGGCATAGGCTAAGTCCATAGTTTTCATCATGTGTCTGAAATGTTTACATTGTAGAGCCCTGAAAATGTTTCACGGCAACATAAACTCACTGACAAAAGATGTAATAATATTCATTCATGAAATGTAATCATTTAATTCTCACCTTCTGTTCCTGCTTTTGCTTGAACTGAGAAAAACCCTTAAAATGAGAAAACACAGAACGATGCACAATATTTAGCAACTTAAATTGATCTTTCTTGAGTATTAACCTACATTTTGTTAGATGTACACTTAAAGGGCACCTATTATACCCCTTTTTACAAGATGTAATATAAGTCTCAGGTGTCCCCAGAATATGTCTGTGAAGGTTCAGCCCAAAATTACGGTGACGCATTGCTGCCACACACATATTATTTTTTTCCACTCAATTATGTCATAATAACGAGATGTTGTGTTTTCTCGTTAAAACGACATATTTTCTTTTAATAATGAAATGTTTTCTCGTAAAAACGAGATGTTATGACATAAAAACGATAGAATTATCTCATTAAAAACTACATATTTTCTCGTTAAAACATATTTTTTCTTGTAATAACGACATTATTATATTCATATTTCCATTTGTTGTTAAGTCAAACTTCAGTCATTCAAATAAATAAATATTCCAAGCCCTGAGTCGATTATTCAAAAATAACTGTTTTGATCTGATCATATAGCCTAAACGAGTCATGGGTCTGAGTGCAGTTATTGGATAGCACTATATTGTAGACATATTGGAGATTAATCCTAATAAACATGCCGCTACAATTAAAACTATTACTTTAAAATACATTTAAAACAGTGTATTTCAATAATTTCAGCAGCGTGCAGATCCTCGTTTATGTGAGACTGTGGCGACAGCAGCGTGGACAGTTGCTTAGCTCGCTCACATAATGTAGCCTACCATATTTGTGACCCTAGACCACAAAAACAGTCATAAGGGTCATTTTTTTTTCAAATTGAGATTTATACATCATAAATAAGCTTTCCATTGATGTATGGTTTGTTAGGATATTACAATATTTGGCTGAGATACAACTATTTGAAAATCTGGAATCTGAGGGTGCAAAAAATCCAAATATTGAGAAAATTGCCTTTAAAGTTGTCCAAATTAAGTTCTTAGCAATGCATATCACTAATCAAAAATTAAGTTTTGATATATTTACGGTAAGAAATGTACAACATATCTTAATGGAACGTGATGTTTACTTAATATCCTAATGATTTTTGTCATAAAAGAAAAATCGATAATTATCACCCATACAATGTATTGTTGTCTATTGCAACAAATATACCCCAGCGACTTAAGACTGCTTTCTGTGGTCCAGGGTCACATATCTATTATAACGGGAAAACATATCGTTTTTATAACATAATATGTTGTTATTATGATAAAATTATGTCGTTTTAACGAGATAATTATATTGTTTTTACGACATAACATCTCGTTATTACGATAAAAGATGTAATTTTACCAAGATAATTATGTCATTTTAACAACATAACATCTAGTTTTTATGAGAAAAGATATCGTTTTAATGAGAAAACATCTCGTTATTGCGAGAAAAGATGACATGTTCTCGTTAAAACGACATAACATCTCGCTATTATGACATAATTGAGTAGAAAAAATGATATGTGTGTGGTAGCAATGCGTCATCGTACAAAAATAGCCCAGAAATCATTTATTATATCATTTTGAAAATGCCTATTTTGAGTGGAAGCAGAAATAGGCTGTTTTCATGCATGTATCTTTAAATGCAAATGAGTTGGTTCTCTCCACCCCCTTTTCCAGAATAGGGCTGTGCCTTTACAGCTTGTCCCGCAGATACTCTGATAAAGACATCTGTTTGGTTTTCATTAGGTGCGTTCGACTTGATGCGGCGCTGCGCAGACCGATCGGCGGCTGACTTGAAGCAGTGCATGCCGGTTAGAAATTTAGTCCGACTTGAACCGGCGCCGACGCCACGTCACTGGCATCAAAGTACCGCGATAGCATTTCGACAGCAGCCGGCTGACTCAACTGGCGCAGCTTTTTCAGAGCGACTGCAGGAGTGCTGAGACACTGCTGTTTCACGATTGGCCAGATTCACCGCATGACAACGATCACGTGTGTTTCGGGTTTATTCTAACCTTTTCAATTCCAATAATGGCCACAAATCTGTGTTTTTAGAACAGTAAAAGCTTTTTTACTGTAGTCACACTGTTATATTGAGTCACGTTTATCAAACAACACTGATAAAAGCATATATACCCCCACTTTATTGGAATTTAAATAGTATACGTTTATGTTGAACTTTATTCTTGAACAGATGACGCTGTATTAAGCAGTATATAAAAAGTGTTTCTGTTGCTCATGAAAATGTTTCTGAAACGTCTGTGTATTTGACAAATATTGCATGTTATTCACTTCATCTGTGATAGAGTATGCAAACAACCCGAGAGCATCACTACCGGGAGCAGAAAGTGTCCGACTTGACGTCTCCGCTTTCAATTCCTCCCCCAACTGCAAGCGGCTACTCTCGCCGATCAGTCTGCGCAGCGCTGCATGAAGTCGAACACACCTATTATGTCTATCGTGCTGAAATCATGCGTTTTAAAGCCATATCAGTTTAAACTTCTGATATAATGTTTTTTTTTTTGTAGTGCACACATCCGAAGTAAACACACAGAAAGTGGCTGTCACACAGCATGTGAATACTTTACTAAGTTTATTTTGTGTCTTATTGCACTTAAACTGCCAAACACACACAAGTTTATGTTAAAACACAGAAGTTACAAAAACACAGTTGGTTATTTCTGTGAAGGTAAACAGCTGGGAGAGAAATTGCATGTTTATACTAAATCTGTGAATTAAGTGGCTGCAGCATAATATACAGTACCGACTGCTGTCTACACTGTTAATATGAGCCAAACAATAAAATAAAAACAGCAAATCACTCACTGCTCTAGAATAATTTCTGTAGTGCTAATAAGAACCCATTTTGTACCTTATTGCTGCTTTTAAATACTCTAGCGTGACGATAAACATGGCGGGGATTGTGTGTGGCTCACTCTGGGCGGGGTCTCTGCTAATACAGCAGTGTCAGTCAGCAGTCGTGGGCGGGGCCTGAACAATGTGATGTCACATTTTAAAGGTTCTGCAAACAGCTTTTTCTGAGACACTGCTTACGATTTATAAGGATTTAAAAAGAGGAGTAGGTGGATTTTTATCATTATAGGGTGGTTATTTACACACACTGCCAGCACTCATTTATGTTCAAACAACATGTAAAAGTAAATTTAGCATAATAGGCAAAAATAAAATAAAAAACAAAAAAAAAACAAAAATGACCAGTTTGGGTAAGTGTCGGTATGATTTCTAAAACCATGTATTAATGTCTTACAAAGTTAGCTTCTCAAATAAAAATATATTGTTTAAAGTTGTTTAGATAATTTTAACCAAAATGAAGACATTAAATTATGGGTAACCCTTTACAATAAACATCCTTTGTTAACCTTGTTAGTTTATGTTAACTACATTAGTTAACAAACAAACAATGAAAAATTAATTCTAAAGCATTAAATATCCATAGATAATGTTAGTTTCATCATGTACTAATACAGTTTTAAAATCAACATTTTTCTCTTTTAACATTATGCAATTAATCTGAGCTAACATGAACTAACAATAAACAGATGTATTTTTGTTATCTAACATGAACAAAGATTCATAAATAATGTAACAAATGTATTTATCATTGTTAGTAAATGCTAGTTAATGGATTAACTCATGTTAACTTAGGAACAGGCACGTGCACACATAGACATCAAAGGGGGCTTGAGCACCTGCCCTTTTTCTTCCTCGAGAGAAAGTGCCCTTTTTTCTGGGGAGTTTTTTTTATTTTTTTATAAATATAGTGCGTGTTTCTGTTTGCGCACAGCTTTCCCTGTCAAACAAATAATAAATCTAAATATCAGGTCGGGTTAGGAAATGTTGAGACTCGGTGGAGTTCTGATGCCTTTGTCCCCTCCGCGTCTCCGCACAGCACAACAGTGTAGCACACACTGATCATCACATCACAGTCACAAACAGGCAGAGAGTGAAGCTACCTGTGCCTCGAATTTACAGCTAATTAGTTAATTTGTCTTTCTAACATCCATGACTCATGAGAGCTACTATGTAAGTTAGCTAAAGTTTAGCTAAGACAACAGGAATTCTAGTAGGTTAGACCAGTGCAAATTCTTTCACTGCATGATTCAGTTTATTAAAATGCATTTAGAATGATCACAGAATTCAAGATAAGGGGGCAGAAATTTATATATTTATATAATTTCATATTGTTAATCAGTATCACGCGAAGACTGACATTTTTTAGACCAAAAAGCAGCATGATTACAAATGTGATATTGATTTTATACAGCAGTTCAATAAAAAAAAAATAATATTAAGACACTTACGTTTTAGACACAATATTGACTGTTTTTGCTCTATTTCGCCAAACAATATAATTCCAATTTGCGTCTCTGAGCAACATGACGCTGTTTTGTTCCTGAATGAACCAACCGTTTAAATGATTCGGTTCAGTCGCAATGACTCACTTATTAACAGTGACTTGGTGCCACCTACTGGCAGTTTTAATTTCACATTTAAAGGGGTCCTATTATGCTTTTTCACTTTTCAACTTTAGTTGGTCTGTAATGTTGCTGTTTGAGCATAAAAAAGATCTGCAAAGTTACAAAGCTCAAAGTCCACTTCAAAAGGAGATTCTGAGATCCACTTTCAAAAACTACAATGAACGACTCGTTTGGACCACAACGCATATTTTCCGGGATTTGTGATATCACAAATATTGACGAATGGGACGAGACCTGGTTGAGCTGCACTAGAGAAGACAACGAGTGTTATCACTATGTCAGAGACACACTAGCTTTCCCAAAGCAGACGAACTTAGAGTGGTTACAATCATCCGGGTTTAAATCGCACTCAAATTGATTTGATATTGACACAATATTTACACTGAAGCTTGCAGGCGGCTATGGCAAGGGGCGTGACATTTCCAGACCAGGCGCCGAGTGCTGCCAGTCACAACACACACTG